CTGAACCGCAGAACTATTTTGTTCAGAGGAGGTGGAGTAAGTCTGCCTCGCTCTGGGAGTGAGTGTTTTCGTGTGTGTACGCACGTGTGTGCGACACAGTGTGAAAGTGTGAGTGTGTTGAGTGTTTGGTGTACAAAATACCTAGGCAGGTGCTTAGTTTTAGTGGGGCTGATGGTTAGGACCCCCACCTCTTAGTGGCACGCTCCAGGTTCAGCAACAGCGCCTTCAACTCATCCTCTGAGTGAGCAGCAATTACCAGATCATCGGCATAGATAACATGGTTGACCAATAGGGAGCCATCCCTCGACCGCACCCAGACATCGATCAGCCTCTCATTGTATCTGTGCAAGATGGAAATTCCTCCGGTACAGCCATGGAAAGTGTCTCGAACTACGTGGTCAAAGATTATGTTAAATAACGTGGGAGCCAGAGGACATACCTGTTGCACCCCAAGGTGAACAGGGAATGGCTCCTGGCTACATAGATTTCCCCAGGCCTGCCCACCATCATGAAGGCCATTAATGATTGTGAGCAGAGTCAGGGACTCCGAAAGTATGAATAATTGCCCACAGCCCTGGTCTGTTGATGGATCAATAGGCCTTGATCAGGTCAATAAAGCAAAAATAATGCCACCAAACAATCTACCCCTCAGCTCCCCATTCGTGATGGAGCAGTTGTGGAGAGAGTGGAGTTTCTCATACCTGGGCAGTGTGCTTATGACCAGCCCCAGTTTGACAGCGTAGGTCTCACTCCGAATCAGTCGGGCGGCATTATCTTTACATCGGCTGTGCCATGCTGTGTGGAAGCTACCTGGTCTGTCACTCCACACGAAGCTTCGGGTCTTCTCAGCCACAGTCATGTCCTCCATTCTCTACGCTTGTGAAACGTGGACCCCTCAAATGGAATATCTGTGCCGGTTAGAAACATTCAGGCTGGCATGCCTACGATCCATCCTGGGTTTAATCAGGCTGGATTGTGTGAGGAGCTCACAAATCCTTGAAATATTTGGACACATTCCCATCGGTGAGCTCCTCCGGCAGGCAAGGCTGTATTGGCTGGGTCACGTAGCCCGCATGCCCAGCCACCGCATGAGCAAACCGCTTCTCTTTGGTTGCATAGAGGAGGCTAAACGGCCACGACATGGGCTGGAGAAGAGATGGAGTGATGTGGTAGAGGAGGATGTGGAGCTGAGTGGACTTGCCGATGACTGGTACCAGCATTGTCAAGATTGGCCTCGATGGAGGAGGCTCGTGAAGGACGCTACTGGACAGTTGGAGGCAGTTGCCCGGCAGCAACAACGGACAGAGGAGCGATGCTCACAACAATTAGTGGAGCGCCGGGCGGCTAAAATACAGCAAGTTGGCACAGTAGGGGCTACAGCTGGTGCATATACTGGTCATCTTAGTCAGCCAACCCATGGCACCTGGGTCTGTTCCGAGACATTCCTGTCAGCGAGCCTTCAATACTTCATGTTGCATCAAAGTATATCTGACCTTATATTCTTGGTTCTTTCGGTAAAGTCACGAAAGGAAACAATAAAATAAAAAATATATAAAACAATAAAATTATCACGACGTTTCGACTGCAACACACGCAATCATCATCAGGTGTGAAAACCACAGCAAGAAATTTTGAAAAAAGTGGCGGTTATTTTTAACGTTAGCACCACGGAGAGCGATTTGGCAGTTTGTTCAGATGGACGAGTCCATCTATGTTCGGAAAAGAGGAGGGGGGAGACGAAAATAATGGATGCGGTCTGAAAGCCACCGTAAGCGTGAACAATCAATTAAGACCCGAAATGGTTGATCAAATCCTTCCAATGATTGCTAAGCCAGAATCCCAGCAGTCACGAAAGCTTTAAATCTAAATATATCTGACCTGGTACAGGCGCCGTGGTGACGTCACCGTCACTTAGTAGCGAATAGCGGGTATTGGTATTCGTGTGGGGAGTGGTAGCGTAGCGGTTAGCGCGGTGCGTTACAAAAGCGATTCTTGTTCACGGCCAAAACCAGTACCTGGTGCGGTGTGTAAATATCACCACTGGGGAGACAAAGGCGGCCGGGCGTGGTGTTGGCCCCCACCCCCCTTGTGTGTTGTACCGACCTTTACAAGTGCTACTCACTAACAGCACTTGCTCCTGCAGTTTGTTAATGCTATATGGGGATTATTTGTCTTTGTGTGCACGCGTGTGTGCGCGGTGCGGCGAAAAAAGCGGTAGTGCAATGGATAGCGCGGTGGTACCGACCTGGCGACCAAAGTTCAAATCCTGCTCACAATCAACACCAGTGGCGATTATCTGAATGGGACCTGGACCTCCTCTAGGTAGACTCAGCCTCAAATGAGCACCTGGTGCGGTGTGTAAACATCGCTAGTGGGGAGACAAAGGCAGCCGGATGTGGCGCTGGCCACCCACCTCCTCGTGTGCCATGTCAGCCTACATAGGCGCTGCTCACTAACAGCACTTGCCCCAATAGTCTGTAAAGGCTACACGGGGGATCGCTGTCCTTGGGGTGTGTGGCTTTGTGTGTCTGTGTGTTTGCGCGCGTGCAATTGTGGTGACTCATTAGCCCCCTTCCTTACCTTGAGTGCTGAAGCTAGCTCTAAGTGAAAATAAAACAGATTTTTTTTTTCTATTTATGTTACTTTATTTTTCGTGTTACTTACTACTAGTTCATAAAGTCTTCTCCAGGCAAAAGTTTTCAATAAATATAATAATTAACCTGATGAGATTTATCTACGATCAAAAATATTATTTTTCCGCCAAAAAAAAATCTAAAATTGTTGACGACTTGATTGTGTTCTTTTTTTTATCAGAAATAACAAAAAATTATTAATTGAATACTGTATGAGGGGAAGCTCCTATCTTCTACCGTTTTGTTCTTTCAAAACTGCTTGAATATACGAAATATCTCAAAAACAATAAAAGACAGAACAATGGTTCTCGCTTTATTTATTTTTTGCTGTTTAACGCTCTATCAAAGGAAACAAACCGCAATCTTATATTTGGAATGGTTTCTGAATGACACCACACACAAACGTGTTTATGGGGCACTTAATATGGAGATTTGGGGGCCTTAAAATAAAAAATCTGGGCTATTCAGATTTATCCTGTTTGTGTCCTAAAAGCTACAAATGTACCAACGTTAAGCTTTCTCCCTTGTCGGGATGTACCCAAGAGGTTTTTGAGACGTACGTTTAAAGGTTTTTATTTATATACAGTATTTTTTTTACAGTGTTACACGCAAATGTACAAATTTTAATTATGAATTTAACTATGCTATCCTTTTTTTTTAACAGTAACACATTTCATAACACTGACCTATGGACATTTAAACACAGTGCATTATTGTGTTCCGACTTACGAACTGGTCTCAGGAACGAATGACGTTCTTAACCCGAGCACTGCCGTACTGTAAAACTACCACGACTGAAAACGCAGACACAACAAAACGGCACAAAGACACGCAGACTATGAATACTGCAGAGACAAAGACCCCCCGTATAGCCTTAACAGACTGTTGGGCAAGTGCTGTTAGCGAGCACCTATGAAGGCCGGAACGGCACACGAAGGGGTGAGAGGCCAGCACCACACCCGGCCGCCTTATGTCTCCCTCTTGGCCATGTTTACACACCGCACCATTTGAGGCTCAGTCGACCTAGGGGAGGTCCAGAACCGGTTCAGATAATCATCACTGGTGCTGGCCGTGAGCGGGAATTGAACTCAGGCCGCCGGGTTCGTAGCGCGGCGCACTAACCGCTCCACCACCGCTCCCCACTGCAGAGCAGTACCGCACACACAAACGCAAACGAAAGCACCACAGGTGCTGGAACACACAGAGGCCAAAACAAAGCTTACAAGACGCGCATAAGCGCAAACATACGTATGTGTACATACGCAAGTGCACAAAGATCCTATTTTAGTGAGGTTCATCTCCCCGTGGAAAGCGCACAAGCAAAAGCACAGACAACATTGGACACAATCAGCAGAGGCGTTTCAATACGCAGGTCCAATTTCCTCTTTAAATATTGCAGAACATTGCAATAAACTGCTGGCAGACACTGCTGGTTACAGGTTGAATGGCATCTTTAGTTACAGTTGACCGTGCACCTGTTTACCGTGTTGAGAAAACTGATGGCGGTACGATGAGAAACGTGTTCACGACGTTGTTTTGGCCATTTTGGATTTCTGGGTAGGCAAATCAGCAGGACGTTGTCCAGTCTCATTGGATAATAAAGTTACTTTAGAAAAATGTTCCGAAGTGGAAATTCAAACATTTAAGTCTGTAACATTTAACTTCATGGGCCTTTGTTACAGCGCGGCAAACTGTGGACTGGTTTACACTTCTTTGTATCTTAGCGGCGTGCGGCCCATCGAACAAATTCTGCTGTTTTGCCTTGTGACAAGACAACAACCTACAACACCGAACCCATTGGTTGACCGACTTAAAAACTTAAAACGTTACCATAGCGAAGGATGAACATGTTGTTTTAGTTCGGGGATGAAACAGACCCTTTATTATTATTATTGCAGTTACCCACTTCATGCCAAAACGGTGCATAAAGATGACAAGTGCGCTTTTGCCGCTTTTACAATGTCGCATGCGAGCGAGAAGGGTGAGCGCTGCGACGGGCGAGAGAGCCAGCAACGGCGCGCACAGCCAAGGGTCGGGACTGCGCCAGTGATTTAGCCGAGAGCAACGGAGAGGAAGGGGAGAGAGGGGCGATGGCGAGGATTTGACGCGGGTGGAGTGTTAGGGAATAAGCGCCGTACAAGCCCGGTACTCGGGGACGTAAATAAAAACTGAACGCACACTCACATAGACACGTAGCTTTCTTGACATTTACTTACTTTATTTGTTCGAACCATTGTACAAACGCTCGTGAATGCAAGTGACGGCTGGCGTGAGTTTTAATTGTGCGTGGCAATCTATATTACACCGGAAAATGCAGGATAACAACAACACGTGCATTTGTACAAATGTGGTGATATAAGCACATACCGGTAAACGAGCAAGGCGCTGGGCATCCATTTCTTTGAGGCGCAGAGCTTGGGCAAGCAATGCTTTCACATCCTCCAGGTAGAACGTATCGATCTGGAAAGAAAGAATCCCACCGCAACATCTTCCACCACTCGAAAGTAAAGAGAGCACAGCATTTCGATTTGAAGCTTTCGTGACTGCAAGGATTCATCTTCTTTGGTTCTTTCGGTAAAGTCACGTAGAATGAGAATAAAATAATAAAATAACACACTAAAATTCTCACGACGTTTCGGCCACAACGCAAGCGGCCGTCTTCAGGTGAAAGGTACAGAACTGTCGGGACGACAGAGCTTCAATGAACGATGTTAAGATTCGTAGCGACTTTTAAGCTGGTTGGGAGAAGTGAGGCACCTTGACAAAGGGGTTTACATATCAATAGCTAAGGGATTAGCTTGTGACTGGTCACGGAAATGGCTATGTTAAAGTCAAAACCTACACATCCACGGAGGCAACTAGTAATTTAGCATTGACATAGCTAAGGGATTAGCTTGTGACTGGTCACAGAAATAGATGTAAAGTCAAAGCCTACACATCCACAGAGGCACCTCGTACATGGACGCCAAAGGGGACAGCAACAACTCAACTGTCATACAGTAAAGCGATGTGAAAAACCTAATTCTAAATTACATCAATCTAATAAATGTACTCAATATATTTTTCAATAAGCTGAGCTATTAACATTAACTGGGTATACACTACACTATATAATGATATCATATAGTAAACCAATACAAACTAAAAGATAAACTACCTCACCATATAACATTGTGATATAACATTGAGGTATTTTATATTTTAGTTTTTATTGGTTTACTATATGATATTCATTATATAGTGTAGTGTATACCCAGTTAATGTTAATAGCTCAGCTTATTGAAGAATATATTGAGTACATTTATTATATTGATGTAATTTAGAATTAGGTTTTTCACATCGCTTTACTGTATGACAGTTGAGTTGTTGCAGCCCCCTTTGGCGTCCATGTACGAGGTGCCTCTGTGGATGTGTAGGTTTTGACTTTAACATCTATTTCTGTGACCAGTCACAAGCTAATCCCTTACCTATTTCAATGCTAAATTACTAGTTGCCTCTGTGGATGTGTAGGTTTTGACTTTAACATAGCCATTTCCGTGACCAGTCACAAGCTAATCCCTCAGCTATTTGATATGTAAACCCCTTTGTCAAGGTGTCTCACTTCTCCCAACCAGCTTAAAAGTCGCTACGAATCTTAACAGCGTTCATTGAAGCTCTGTGGATGTGTAGGCCTTTACTTTAACATCTATTTCCTGTGACCAGTCACAAGCTAATCCCTTAGCTATTTCAATGCTAAATTACTAGTTGCCTCTGTGGATGTGTAGGTTTTGACTTTAACATAGCCATTTCCGTGACCAGTCACAAGCTAATCCCTCAGCTATTTGCACAAGCTAATCCCTTAGCTATTTCAATGCTAAATTACTAGTTGCCTCTGTGGATGTGTAAGTTTTGACTTTAACATAGCCATTCGTGTGACCAGTCACAAGCTAATCCCTTAGCTATTTCAATGCTAAATTACTAGTTGCCTCTGTGGATGTGTAGGTTTTGACTTTAACATAGCCATTCCTGTGACCAGTCACAAGCTAATCCCTCAGCTATTTGATATGTAAACCCCCTTTGTCAAGGTGCCTCACTTCTCCCAACCAGCTTAAAAGTCGCTACGAATCTTAACATCGTTCATTGAAGCTCTGTCGTCCCGACAGTTCTGTACCTTTCACCTGAAGACGGCCGCTTGCGTTGTGGCCGAAACGTCGTGAGAATTTTATTGTGTTGTTTTATTCTCATTCTACGTGACTTTACCAAAAGAACCAAAGAAGAAGAGCACAGTATTCCCTCGTTATTTGCGAAGGATACGTTCCCGAGATGCTCGTGAACAGCAAATTTTGTGCACAGCGATTAAATACATGAAAATGATCATAACACAAAAAATTAATACCTCTTTATTATAAACATAAAGTAAATTAATTTAAATATTAACATATTAAATAATAGGTTCTAAATGAACTTAGCTTAAATTATAATGATCCTTTACATGATGACTTTATCTCATCACTTTCTCTCTCGATGCAATCGTGTCGAGACTTCGAGATGCGATTCACGGACAGCCAAAATCGTGGATAGCAAGTTCGTGAATAACGAGTGAATAATGTTTACAATAATAACAACGCAAAAATAATGACAGGCCCTTGTCAAAAAACGAAGGTCTCCCCATGCCGTGTTGGTCATGGGAGTTGTTTGACCATACTTCCTCACACTGGTCAATGCAAGTTGGTGATGGGAGGTGCCAGGACCAGTTCGGATATCACTCACCACCTATGTTAGCAGTGGCCTGAATTAAAATTCAGGTTGCACGTTTCATACAGCATGGTGCACTAACTACTGTCTGTCCACGCTCCTTTACACCGTGAAGCATGCGTCAGACATTAACCAACCCAGATGCAGTTATCCCACCGCACTCCGGGCATTTGTCCTGTATGTATGCATAGGCTACAGCGTTGTGTCAATTACTTGCCGACGTGTTTACGATCGCGTGGTTGCGGAGTTATTGCCACAGATCTGAACGACACCTACAGAGCAAGCTGCAATGCAATTGGGGGGAAGGGGGGTGAAGGAACACAAGTGTAGGTAAACGAACCTGCGTTGCCATGTAACCCAGCAAGCAGCAGAGAGCAGTGTGCCCCGACTGCAGGGCAACCATGGCCGATTGATGTCCCGATAGGCCGAAGCATGCCAGGAAGGTCCGCAGCCGCCACTCCGCCACACGCTCTGCATCCTTCTCCGCCGCGGGCTGCCACAGCGAGCGTGCCTCCAGCGTCCCCCCTGCACAACGCAGTGCAAGCCTCACGTCGTGTTCCCATGGGTCGCCTTGCTCGAAGGTTCGCGTAATTTTCGATTTAAAGCTTTCGTGACTGCAAGGATTCATCTTCTTTGGTTCTTTCGGTAAAGTCACGTAGGATGAGAATAAAATAATAAATTGATCAAATAAAATAACACAATAATATTCTCACGACGTTTCGGCCACAACACAAGCGGCCTTCATCAGGTGAAGGGACGAGACTGTCTGGTAGGACAGCGCTGGAGTGAAAGAGCCACGTTCAGATCACGGCCTTTAAGCTGTGTGAGAGGAACAAAGCGCCCTCAACTTCAGCACCACGGATAGCTACGGGCTCCGTTCAGACGGACGAGTTCGTCCATGGACGGAACAGAGGAGGGGGAGAGAGACAGCTGCGAGGCCCTAGTATACTCCATGTTGTAAAACCATACCATTAACCGTGGTGTGAGAGGTATTAAGAGGCAATGCTGGCGAAAGAGCTGCGGTCTGAAGGTCATCGTAAAAATACAATTAATTAAGAACAGAAATGATTTAAAACATCTTTCCAGTGGTTACTAAGCCAGAATCCATCTTCTCGGTTGAAATTGTCTCTGTGCTTGTATATGTGAATGGCCTCATGAACGAATCTCTCATGGTAGCCGGTTGGTTTGCAAAGAACCTCCGTCTTGGAGAAGTCAATGTCATGTGAGCCCACTGAATTATAACAGTGATCTGCCACGGCAGAGGAGTTCGTCCTACCGTGTTTCAAGTCTGCTTTATGTTCGCGGATGCGGTCCGAGATATGTCTTTTGGTTTCTCCAATGTAGCTACTACCACAGAGGCACTTTAGTTTGTAAACGCCCGGGTACTGTATGTCTGGAACAGCATCTTTTACAGATGGAACTAAATCACGGATTTTATGTACTGTTTAATCGGACCTGGATCTTGTGTTTATTCAGGATTTTGGAGATCTTTTTAGTGACCCCTGCAATGTAGGGTAAGGTGATGGTTTTGAGTGGCTCCACAAGAGGATCCTTCTTCATGACTGGAGTGATGGCTTTGCGGATTGTGTAGTCGGAGTAGCCATTAGCCCTAAGAGCCTGGTGTACGTGCTTGAGTTCACTGGTAATGTGTTCCTGGTCGGAAATGCATTGGGCTCTATGATATAGAGTCTTGATGAGGGAGTTCTTCTGGGCTGGATGGTGGTGGGAATCCGGTTTCAAGTAAGCATCTGTATGGGTAGCTTTCCTGTAGACAGAGTGGCTCATTGAACCATCATGTCTCCTTTTAATTAAGACATCCAAAAAGGGTAGTTTGCCATCTTTTTCGACCTCCATGGTAAATCTGATGGCTAGGTGTATGGAATTGATGTGGTCGCGGAATTGGTCTAGAGCAGGCTGGCCATGTGGCCAGATGACAAAGGTGTCATCAACGTACCTCTTCCATAAGGTCGGGCGTAGAGTGGCAGTCTGGATGGCGTCAGTTTCAAATTTTTCCATGAATACGTTGGCTACAACCGGAGATAGGGGGGAGCCCATTGGGGTGCCCTCAGTTTGTTTGTAGAAAGTTCCATTCCAGGTGAAGTATGTGTTGGTTAAGCAATGTCTCACCAGGGGGGGTACATCAGTATGCAGTCCTTGATGAACCAGGTCTTCAATGATAGCGATGGTGTCAGGTACCGGGACTTTGGTGAACAAGGACACCACATCAAAACTGACAAGCAGGTCGTTTGGGGACAGGGAAATGCCTTTGATTGTCGATACCAGGTGAGTAGAATTTAGTACCGCAGAGGTGGTTTTTCCAGTGAAAGGTCGCAGTATATCAGCAAGAAAACGTGCCAGTTTGTAGGTGGGGGAGTTGATAGTAGAGACGATGGGACGAAGGGGTGTATCTTCTTTGTGTATCTTTGGAAGGCCATATAATCTTGGTGGTCTGGCAGCAGAGGGTTTCAATGAGAACTGTTTGATCTCATCAATTAATGCTGTTGAATCAGAGATGATTATGTTCGTTTTGGTGACCAGGCTGTTGGTGGGATCTCTTTTTATTTTTGTATAGCTGCCATCGTTGAGTAGTTCTTGAATTTTGTTGTTATATTCTGTTTTGTCCATGATGACAGTGGCATTGCCTTACACCCAGCCATCAGATTTACCATGGAGGTCGAAAAAGATGGCAAACTACCCTTTTTGGATGTCTTAATTAAAAGGAGACATGATGGTTCAATGAGCCACTCTGTCTACAGGAAAGCTACCCATACAGATGCTTACTTGAAACCGGATTCCCACCACCATCCATCCCAGAAGAACTCCCTCATCAAGACTCTATACCATAGAGCCCAATGCATTTCCGACCAGGAACACATTACCAGTGAACTCAAGCACGTACACCAGGCTCTCAGGGCTAATGGCTATTCCGACTACACAATCCGCAAAGCCATCACTCCAGTCATGAAGAAGGATCCTCTTGTGGAGCCACTCAAAACCATCACCTTACCCTACATTGCAGGGGTCACTAAAAAGATCTCCAAAATCCTGAATAAACACAAGATCCAGGTCCGATTCAACACAGTACATAAAATCCGTGATTTAGTTCCATCTGTAAAAGATGCTGTTCCAGACATACAGTACCTGGGCGTTTACAAACTAAAGTGCCTCTGTGGTAGTAGCTACATTGGAGAAACCAAAAGACATATCTCGGACCGCATCCGCGAACATAAAGCAGACTTGAAACACGGTAGGACGAACTCCTCTGCCGTGGCAGATCACTGTTATAATTCAGTGGGCTCACATGACATTGACTTCTCCAAGACGGAGGTTCTTTGCAAACCAACCGGCTACCATGAGAGATTCGTTCATGAGGCCATTCACATATACAAGCACAGAGACAATTTCAACCGAGAAGATGGATTCTGGCTTAGTAACCACTGGAAAGATGTTTTAAATCATTTCTGTTCTTAATTGTATTTTTACGATGACCTTCAGACCGCAGCTCCTTCGCCAGCATTGACTCTTAATAACTCTCACACCACGGTTAATGGTATGGTTTTACAACATGGAGCATAATAGCGCCTCGCAGCTGTCTCTCTCCCCCTCCTCTGTTCCGACCATGGACGAACTCGTCCGTCTGAACGGGGCCCGTAGCTATCCGTGGTGCTAAAGTTGAGGGTAAGAATCCACCCATTTTTTCGCCATATAGCATTGTGATATATAACGACTTATTGTTGGTAGCTTAGCTGATTGGAGAATATAGAGTTTATTGATAACATTAAGGTAATTTATATTTTAGTTTTTTATTGGTTCACTATATAGTACTGTGAATAGCTCAGATGTGTAGGCCTTGACTTCAACATAGTCATTTCTGTGACCAGTCACTAGCTAATCACTCAGTTATTTCAATGCTAAATTCGCCTAGTTATTTCAATGCTAAATTCTCCTGTTTGATTTGTACTAAGTGCCTCGGTGAATGTGTATGCTCTGACTTTAACGTAGCTATTTCTGTGAGCAGTTACAAGCTATTCACTCAGCTATTTAAATGCTAAATTCTATGCTAATTCCATTGTCAAGGGGTGCCTCTGCGGATGTGTATGCTTTAACTTAGCTATTTCAATGCTAAATTCTATGCTAATTTCTTTAACAAGGGGTGCCTCTGCGGATGTGTATGCTTTAACTTTTAACATAGCTATTTCTGTGACCAGTCACAAGCTAATCATTCAGCCGTTTCAATGCTAAATTATATGCTAATTCCTTTGTCAAGGCACTTTGTTCCTCTCACACAGCTTAAAGGCCGTGATCTGAACGTGGCTCTTTCACTCCAGCGCTGTCCTACCAGACAGTCTCGTCCCTTCACCTGATGAAGGCCGCTTGTGTTGTGGCCGAAACGTCGTGAGAATATTATTGTGTTATTTTATTTTATCAATTTATTATTTTATTCTCATTCTACGTGACTTTACCGAAATAACCAAAGAAGAGGTTCGCGTAATTATCGTCTGAGAATGCTCGTTTCTAAGCCCCACATGGAATGGCGATGGAGGTACAAACCCGGGTCGTATTGCGCAGACCTCATAGCAAAATTGTGTAATGCGATCAGAAGAATTGAGGAAAGTTGGGACTTGGTGTGTTATTTTATCAGGACCAATGCTCAAGTTCACAAATCCCAAGTTGGCATAGCTGCCAATTCGCAAGGCCAGATTAGAATTGGTTATACCAAACTGGAAGTCTCCAGACTTGGCTGCCAGTCCTTTCCACATGTTTCTGCAGTTAAAGAATCACTTGCTAGACAAAAAAAAACTATTTTCAAGTGACAAGAAAGTGATGTTTGCCATGATTGGATGGTTTGAGGAGCGAGGACAAGAGTTTGTCAGGGTGGCATAGAAGCCCTGGAAGAGCATAACTGAACTAACGTGTAGGGAAATAACACCATTTCATCAAGGTCACTCATTTCTTGATCTACCAGACCACAGATTTTTCATTACCCCTTGTATATCTCACTCTGCTGAGTCTGCAAATAAGACACATCTAAAACTCGCTCTATGCTGTAAAGTTAAAATCCTGTAACATCATTCCTTCTCTTTGAGAGCGAGTGAACACTGCATGTTTCAAGTCAAAATTATGTATTTCATATACTACATGTCACGAGCCAAATTATAATGATTAGTCAATAATTAATATACACTTATTCTTTGGGTCTTTCGGTAAAGCCACATAGATGGAAAAATAATACAAATATCACGACGTTTCGATCGCAACACAAGCAATCGTCATCATTTTTCTATCTACGTGGCTTTACCGAAAGACCCAAAGAATATGAATTCCTGCAGTCACGAAAGCTTTAAGTCAAGATTTAATATACACTTATTTTTATTTATTGTCACTCATAAAGGCTTAACACACTTTTAAATCATTAGCCCATGAACTATGTTAAACTTCAAATTTTATGTAATGTGGCGTTTTTGCTTAACTATGTATACAATTTCGATTTAAAGCTTTCGTGACTGCAATGATTCATCTTCTTTGGTTCTTTCGGTAAAGTCACGTAGAATGAGAATAAAATAATAAATTGATAAAATAAAATAACACAATAATATTCTCAATGTCAGAGACATTCACATCACATGTGCTCAAACAGAGCAATAAAGCTACATTTGTCACCAAAGTAAAACCAATTATATTTTAGTTAATATCCCTGGGCTGAAATTGCTGAAACAGCTGCAATATAATAAAACAGCAAACATACGGAATCAAGATATTCATACGCACACAAGAATAATTAAAGAAAATCAATATTGCTGATTTACCTGATATACACCGATGGAAAAAACACAAAAAGTGAAGAGCTTTCTACGTCCAGCATGACACGCATGTGGGTGCACAGGCCACTGCCACCATACAATTTCAGCTATTACTGTCTCCCGAGTGGTGATTTTAAATCATGACACCGGGCAGTCATAAAAGGTTGAATAGAAATAGAGGTGGTCGAGGTCAAATTCAGACATCAAATGCTGCTGGTGTTTTGTGTGGCCAGAAACTGAGAATGAGACACCATGATTACAGCACAGTGCGATAATTATAATCATTGAGCGATCACTCACCACTACTACATATACCAGAGATGAGGGGGGAGAGGTCAGCCCTGATGAAGTTTCTACAACGCCTCTAGGCGCAGAGCCTTCTCAACACTACGCGTGGTCCTGTGCAGACACGGGGCAGAGCAGCAAAGGCAGATGCACATGGAAAGACACGGAGGCAGACAGAGAAAAAGACAGAGAGACACAGACAGTGAGAGACGCTGAGAGATAGAGAGTGAGAGATATGGGGGAGGCCACTGACAGAGATGGGACCAACGTGACAGAGACATGTATCATGAGCACGTACAAATTCCATTATTACTAGTTAAACAAAGTTAATTCCGAAAAAGATATCCACACCTGGCATATCCAGAGGCAGAGGGGCTATGAGCTCAGGTTCCCTCAGGTCATTCCCTGGGTACACTATCCATTCCTTCACATGACGAATTTCTCCATCTGCAAAAAAGGTCACACAAAAACAAGCAAAACCATGGCAGGTGTACATATTGTAACAAATTACTTTAAGCAGTATTGTAAATACATGGGGAGATTTTATTGTGACCTTTAATGGACCTTTTTTTTTTCCAACCTCCTAGAATGATTAGAAGACCAAAAACATTTGTACAGTTTTTTACCAAGGCATGTGGTATATACTATATCAGTTAAGAGTAAGACAGCAGTGACACACATCTCAACTCGCATCACAACACTCAGAAAATGATTATGCACCAGATTAAAGACATCACCTTGATGGTGGCAAGCTATCCATGGCCAGATTGGAACTGTGTCTGCCTCAGGCCAGCCTATCCATTTTTAGGAGTGTGATTCCCAGTTACAGACGTTCTTCTTTCATATTACCAAACCGTTTATTTCACTTGGACATCCTCTAGTCCTTGTTTCACTGATGTTGCTGTACAGAAGAACATGGGGAAATCTCTCTTTGTCCACTCGAATGTACACTACCTACCCAGCATGTTTTTTTCGGATTGTACCATGTGTCGTTTGTCATAATGTCCGCCGTTTCATTCCACATGCTGGGAGCTTTTTGAAACTCGCTCCCAGGACATGCAGCGAAATGTCAGACATCGTGCCGAGCAACACGCAGTAGAATCTGAAAACACTGGAGAGCCAAAAATAATGTTACGTTTTATATAGCGGCATGGCATATGCAAATTGCATCTCGCAAACGCTGAGAAACCACAGATTGATCTGGTCCCAACAATTTACCAAGCAACGCAGTCCTCTATATACTTCAATGTTTTCAACCAATGAATGAGTGTTTACATGTATACATGTTGAACTTAGTTCGCACTACGTAGCCAACCGTGCGAATCGGGGGTGCAGAGGAAGGACAATAAACTAAACACAAAGAGCAGTTCTTAAGAAATAAGTTTTGAATCTAGATTTAAAAGTGCATAGCAACAGTGGCTTCCTAATATTGGAAGAGCGTTCCAGACGGCCGCAGCTCATCTGAAAGCGTGCGATGCAGTGACCGTCTTTGTTCGATGGCTCGCCGCATGTCGAAAGGAACCAGGGCACCCACGCACTCAAGGGGGCAACACTATCCCAAACAGATGTTTTTACAATTAAACCCAACCACAAAACCCTTCGCAAACAGAATTGTCTCCTTTGAATGATGCCTATCATGTCCCTTATTATTGCTGGTTCCTTTTGAATGCCAACATTCTTCCTATCTTACCTGGTTTATCCCATGCGTTATCTTAGTACAGCCGTTTCAGAGTCTTCCCTACAGTCATGCATGTACAATAATAACAAAAACTACTTTCCTGACTCTTACCCACAGGTTTGATCCCCAGTAGCAGGCCATAGATGTGCTGGCGTACAGGCCGGTAGAGAAGTCCAGCCGGGGGAAGGCCTGTCGCAGCTGGATCCTCTAGGCTGTTGCTCACATCCAACTCTCCCAAGACCAGCAACTTGTAAAGTTGGTGACCCTGCTGTTGGGCCAACTGTTGACACAAGCATCCCCTTGTTGTAAGATTTCCCTTACTTGGGAGTGTGTGGCAGTACATTGTTTCAAAATGCTTACTGCTGCTTTCATTTGTAGTCGATGAGTACGCACAAACACTTCATATTACTCCTACTGATTTATTTAAATATGTTTGTCAACGTTCTGCTTACCATTTGAGACCCAAAGGTCGTACAATTACGTGCAATACACCAACATATGCAACAAACCTCCTTTCCGAAATGCAAGGGTTTTTTTTGTTAGAAGGCATGACCTGACCTGGCAAGTGGTGGCCACAAACATGTCATGGAAATAACGAACAGCTTGAGGATGGCTGCCTCAATGCCATCTGTGAGCCAAGAGACAACAGATTCTGAGCAAATACCAGAGGACTGCAACAGTGCATGTTTGTGCAAGACGAAAAGAGAGAGAGTGGAAATTGCTGGCCATTCATCATCCATCAATTCAGGTGCACAGACAACCGCCATCAGCACAGCCGTGATGCTGAGACAGTGCCAGCAGAAACTAGCCATGCCATGATCAGTCATTTTCTATTCACTGATGGATGAAGGTATGTCCATGCTGGTGCTGTATCTCACCGTCTGGTGATGTTACAATCCATCTCACGCTTGCGCACAAATTAATCTCAACACTCTAAAGTGTCCATGCATAACAGCCTATGGAGATATAATCCGAAATGGGAGTTTGACTGTTTTTTGTAATCTAGCTGCGTTGCCACGTGATAAGAGTACACACGTGTGTTAATTCAAGTCTTATTTAAGAGTCGATTCAGCCCATCATCCCTCTTTGATGAATAGAATGAGAATGAATGTGTTTTATCAAGAGACGCGGGCTGCTGTAAGAATGGAAAACATAGCATTTAGGTAATCAGGACATGAAAAGGAATGAAAAGTACGGAGGCAAAAGCAGGGAAGAGTTTTCAGACCTGCAGGAACTCCACATCGGTGCAGAGTGACGCCTTACAGCCTCCATCCATAGATGAGACAGTGCCATGTCCCAGACTTGCCTGTACAGTATAAATAATTCAATCATTGAATGAAAAATGGTAATTAACTACTTTCAGCATACAGCAAAAGCTTTAGATTCGTAATTAACAATATTGTACATTTTTCAAAGATGTGACTCTTTCTATTCCCAGTCAACATTCTATCCCATCCTTACTATTCACAACAGCACAGCAACAACGTAGCTTTTACGTCACATCTCTCGATGTCTCTCGATGTGAAGTAAAAGTGGTCATGGAACACACAATGAGGACACATCAAGGCACGAGCAGATCCACACACACACACATCACACTTTCACTGTACCTGCATATTGGCAGGTAGCCAAGGAGAACTAAGTCCTGCCAAGGTGTAACCTGCCACAACAGCTTGCAGTTGCCCACAAGCCTCGTCACCAAACAGCTCACGCTCGAGTTGCTCGAGAGAGGCAGGAGACGCTGGAACCTTGCGGAGGTATCGAGCCACAGCCGCCACAGGAGGCTCACCCGGAGATGCACAGCGTCTTCTAAAGTAGGCTCCTCTTTTTTGATCTACGACATCATTACCCATGAGGCAGGCTAATACTGGCAAGTCAGAGATGCGAATGCGGAGGTGCTCACATAACCGCCCTCGCACGTACATTACGGTAGTAAGAGTCTCCAGGTCTAGACTGTTGATGGACAGGTATGGTACCGTATCGTAGACCAGATAGTCCGTGTCTTGGCCTAAGATCCCGATGCAGTTTTTACTTCGTGCAAATTCGGCCACTTCGTAGTCAGCCTCCCGTGTCGTGCGGATAACCTCAGCTCCCAGGGCCTGGAGGGCAGCCCTCGTAAAGCTGCAGAGACCAGACGGGATGACAGACATGTTGTCCAGGGGCTGCTGCCCTGTCTGCTGGATGTGCCTGAATATGCTTGATATTTCGCGGCTATTCTGGTGCCGGCGGCGAGCCCACTCCTGCCGCTTGGGTTGCTGCGTTGACCCATCGAAGAAGAATACGAGGTGCAGTCCGACGTCCGCCAGACGGCGTAAGAAGTTATCCAGGCTCTGCAGGTACTCCTTCCACTGGCCACCCTGCACCCAGCGCTGGGGAGTGTACCAGAAACGTATGCAGCAGGGAGCATCCACGACAAGACAAGGCGTTTCTCCCGGACGCTTTATCTTGAAGCTCTCGGCGAGGTCGGCAAGGCGAACTGGCTCGCACGCACCAGGAACGCAGCCCTCCACAAAGCTCTGCAATCCCTTTACTCCCATTGTGCAGTGTTGCGATTCCTAGGATAAAACAAAGTTAAGATACATTAGCTCAATCTGTGGCATATAAAATCCACAAGCACTGCTCCAAATATTCAAGATCTCACTTTTTTTTACATGGAGTTTAAGGTAGGCAATATTCAGCTAAGATGTTCAAATACTGCCCACTATACAACTTGTTTAGGTGCATCATTCATAGGGGGTTGTTTGGCCATTCTTCACCAACCTGGCCGGTACAGGCTGTTTACGCAAAGTTAATTGGCTGGGATAGGACTCATCGCGAGACGGGATGATGGCCCATGGACGAGACTGGTGATGGAATGACACCCAAAGGGCAGCACGGCCAACGCAGATGTGGAACGGTGGCATTAGTTCATGTGTAGAAGAGAGGTGGATGGTGGCAGTGCTGAGGAGGTGACGGCATTGGGGTGGCCTTCATTCAGAGAACAGACAATGGCTGATCACGATGATGATGCAACAAATGAATATGACAAAGTGTCATCTTTTGCTGGTTGCTTTCTTTGTTTTATTTTGCTACCAAAGATGTACTAATCACAAAACATCCAAAATTTCAGTTATTATCTGGCCAAACACACATTGACATTGAGGGAAAATGTCGTGTCAAAACCGACCAACATTTTTCTGAAGCAAAAACACGTGTTACATATCCACATTGGATATTTCACCCAATTTTTTTGATCTTCATATGGGAGAAATTACAATTTTAATCAAGTATTCAGCAAACCATCGGCGTCCTATCTCAGCTTCAAATAACTCACATTTTATCACAATGTTGACAAATATGTTCATGAAGGCTGATCATATTGTAGTTACACTGCAGCAATTATACCCCATATGGCTCTTAGTAACGGTGGCTCGGAATCTAAAAAAATACTTGAAGTCCCACTATTAGGTATGTTAAAAATGCATTGATTCATCTATTAATTTTAATTCTGACACGAAAGCTACTACTCGTTTAAATCGTGAGAATCGCTGCACTGTTACGTACGCAATCACGCTAATTCAACGTGGCACACCGCAGGCCCAAAGAATATCACTTCGAATTATGGATCAATAACTTATCAACATCTCGGGCACTGAAAAGCTGCAGATGTTGGTAAAATATGAGGGCTGTAGACAAGAGGCATATATGAGGCAGATATACAAAAAAAATGCGAGCGTGTATTCGGGATATTTCGTGCACCGTGATGTCCCCTTCAGCTACATGGGGCCCCTTAGCATTTGGCTTGGGTTGCAATGCGCAGAGAGCCACCTCTGGCCGTAATGTCCAAACGACATCGAAGATAATCGATTATCCCAATGGGCTAGAGACTAAAATCGCAACATCACCCACCCGGTGGTTATTATTGTAGAGACTCCGGAAGAGAGAGACATTTACTCCCCATGGCAAAGTGTTCCAAATTCCCTGGATAAGATCAGAAAACAAAATGAAGATGCATCAGCTTCAACCCGTGGCACATAAAACCCACGAGGCACGCTCTAAAAAGAAAACAATTACACGCAGTTTCAAGTTAACAAGGATTGTGGCACAGACCCTTAAGCCTCTCAGGGGGGATTATAAGAAGGCCCGCACGCACAGAGGCTGTGGAAGTCCAGTTTAGATCTCGCGTGGAGACTCGCCGCTCATCTCCGTGATGCAGCTCAAGAGGCTTTTGTGGCAATTCCACGTTACTATGGCCCGGCTGGTGGGGTAGGGTGGGGTGGGGGGCGCAGACGACGAAGACAGCTGGAGGGGAGACGGCAAGAGGGATGATACAAGCTTAGTGGGCAGACACGGGGAGCGAGACGAGTTAGAAGAAGAAGAATAATAAGAGAGAGACAGACCCGAGGGACAACGGAGGGAGGGACAGAACCAGTGAGATAGATACGTTAGAAGGAGCGAGAGACAGACCAGAGAGAGAGACAGACCAGAGAGACGGTCGAGAGAGAGAC